GTTTTTTTTTTTTTTTTTTTTTTGGTCCGGACATTTGTGCACCCCTGATACCAGTCCGGACTGTCTGGGTCCGGTGATGTCCGGTAATGTCCGGATCACCGGACGGTTCAGACCGGTCTGACACTGCTCCGGAAGACGGTCCGGAAGTGTCCGGTGTCCGTGTCCGGGGTTACCATGTGAAACGTCGAAGATTTTCACCTCCCTCCTCTGAAAGAAACAAAATAGGCAGAGGCAGGAGGGGGGGGGGTTCAAAATCTTCAGCATTTTCACCACTTCAGAATTTTCAGAATCTTCAGCGTTCCTACACACTCGAACAAGGGGGGTGTACCTCAAAATTTTCAGCATTTTCACCACTTCAGAATCTTCAAAATCTTCAGCGTTTCTATATACTCAAACATGGGGGCAAGCGTTAAATATTTTTGGAGATTTATTCAATGTAGGGGCATTCAGCATTTTCAACACTTCTAGAATTGTTGAAACTCAACTTCCAAGAACTTCAAAAATGTTGAAAGTTCTCCACTTCAGAATTAGTTTCAGCGAAGATTCGGAGTGTCGTTGACCAGGTGTGCCCTCCGCATGGAGTAAGCTCCCCTTACCAGACAAGATTGCCCCCGTGGGATGAAGAAATCTACCAACAACCACTATTCCGGCAATCGGTGGATCACCGACCACAACGCATCTTCTGCAGTTTGGACTTTCTGTGGAAGAACTGGGTGAAAAAGGGCATCCTGCGAGTCGGGGACATCCGGGATCAGGAAACCAAGAACTGGAAAATGAAACAATAGCTCTGTTTTGCCCTGACATACTGTCGTGACCCGTAAGATAGAGGTTAACCTGGATCAGTTCATTTTCTCTATCTCATTGGCCTAGGTGCAAACACTGAGAAAACAACCAATCCTTGAGGAAAGCGACTAGATGGCCATAAATGGAGAGACGGAGATAGTGGGCAACATCCTGGACTTCAAAAAAGAAGAGGTTCTAATCAACCTCTTCCACATAAACAACATTGATAACCTTACCTGCTTATCCCTGGACATAGTACAAAGGACAGTGAGGGAGGACGTCTACCGAATCAAAACGCGACAATGACAACTGGTGGTCTTCCTCCCAGACACCCCGATCAAGGAGCTGCCTTTTCACCCGGTTGAATGGTAGTGGACCTCCCCCCACCAATGCAATAGCCCCCGCAAAAAGACACTTGACTAATTTGAGTGTCAAGGCCATCTATGGTATGTTGTAGCATGTAATTGATCTGCAGGATAAAATTAAACACATATAGGGGGCCCACTCGCCCACCTAAACATCAGCAAGGAGGACCTCAGACTGATCCGCCGGTTTGCAGCAACCAAAACCAGACCAGTAAAAATTGTGTTCCTACGATGGCAAAGAGAACACCGTTGCTTACCAACTGACGACTGGATACTCGATTGTACCCGCCTGGAACAGAACGGCTTAGCCCTACCATGATGCAAGTCATGCATAAGAACTTCCCATCCCGGAAAATACGGGAGACGATAGAGCACAACTTTCTACAGTTTCCAAGAGCGGTACTTACCTGGCGATGGTGGGACTGGGTCTTGCGCCAGATGGGAACAGGTGCCGCCTGGCCATGGGATTGGAGAGCCCTGCTATATGGGGCATGGAATTCACCGCAAGCAAGCACCTTTGCAGATAATATGTTCTGGCTGGGGCGACAAGCAGTCCTCTGGGCACTTTGGTGGAAAAGATGCACTTTCGAGAGGGAAGAGGCACGACTGTCAAGGCAGGAACTCACTGAAACAGTCAAGGAACGAATTCAACCAGAATTAACAGCCAGATGCACTAACATAAAAAACAAACTGGACCTGTATCACCAATACGAAGACATAAAGCAGGAAATCCAGACATTTTTGAAAGAATGGCTGGGAGGGGAAATGGGAGAATGGATAGCAGACATCAGATGGGAGGGAGGTCAACAGGCGCGTCCAGGCTCGCTTGAAAGAGACTACCAACCAGTGTTCCCCATCCATCCCCTTACAACCGCCCACGGACTTCGCAGAATTGTTCCCTCGACCTCCATTGGCGCAGCGGCAATTCAGGACAGCAGCTATATCCAGGCAAACAGGTTCATTGTCAGCCTGGTCACTAGGCATCAGCCAGGGGCCAAGACAAGCTGAAAAGACGGCAACAGAATGGCCACGGAGACAATGCAGCAGCTGCGGTTCTAACAAGTGTAATGACCTGACCAAACATGGACTGAGACACACAGCTGATTTCTGTGTTTTGCTCATGGAATGAATGCCTTGCTGAGTTTCCCGCTTGTTACTGAGTTCTGTAAGTCTGTGTGTGTGCACGCTTGCTGATCTGCATGCCTGTCTGAGTGCTTGTCAGCTTCAGTGTGTGTGTGACCCGCAAGGGCACTTGTTCGTTCAGTGGGCCCGAAGGGTCGGTACTTACCTGTGGCCGTGATATTGAGGATTGCAGCGGGGAAAACACTCAAGTGGCGGGGAAAGAGGCCCACGACACTTGAAGCAGTGGAAAACACTCAAGTAGCAGGTAGGCCGGTACCACGCCGGGTAGAGGTAGATGTGCCGGGTACTCGAGGAGCAGAAGAAGACAAAAGTTGGCATTTTTAGAGGCCCAGTAGTTGTAGGCTAGGTTTAGGCGGGTACCAGTCCAACCAGTCTGAGTTTAGGGCCTGTATGGGCAATATCAGAGTCTGCAATGATGTTTCCCTCCGAAAGGGAGGAGGTACCGGTTGCTTGGAGGCTGCGCGGCCTAGGAAGTCACTTGCCAAGAGGCAAGCAGGCCGCTATATCTCCAGGAGGATCCAGTTGCTCCTCCTCATTGTCGGTGTGCAAGTTTGGCGACACACTGGTTGGAGTGCTGGCTGGAGCAGCGCTAGCACACAGCTGCGCTGCTGGGGAAGGAGCAAGGACAGGAAGAAGACCAGGACTAGGAAGGGAAGCGCCAGAGGTACTTACCTGGCTATGGTGTTTGCCATCTTCATCACCTTGGTGGGCGGCCTGAGGTCTCAAGAACAGAGAGTATAAATGGTCCGTCTGGGACGCTGGACCCGGTATCCAGCAGGTGACGCCCGTCACCAAATAGACCAAAGCACCCTGTGCCAAGGCTACTAGGGGGGGCTGCTTGTATCACCCCCTCTAGTGAGCCCGGCAAAGGTTTGAAAAAAACAAAAAAAAAACGTTCTTTCTTTGATCTCCATCCGCATACGCATAATAAGAGTTAAAAAAGTAGCATTTGTGCTTATAGAATCTCTTTTCTTGTGCATGTGTTTGCGCTTTGCAGGTCGTTCAAGTGGGGTCCGCATGTCTTGTGCTGACAGCACCAGGTGGTAAGATCCCAAAGGACCTGGGATGGTATGCAGCGAAGAAGATGATGGGAAACGTCGACAGTTTCCTCACTTTTCTCAGAGACCGTTTTGACAAGGACAATGTGCCGGTGCAATGTGTAGAAAAGGTGGAAAAAGATTATATCAGTAACCCCAACTTCAACTCAGAGTACATCAAGAGCAAGTCCATAGCAGCAGCTGGATTGTGTGGTTGGATTGTAAACATCTGCAAGTATTTCAGAATCTACCAGGTACGCCCTTTTTTTCCCTTTCTTTTGAGTTTTTTAACTTTTTTTCCCCTTTAGGGGGCAAAGTTCTGGCAGACCCTGACATTATTTCCTCTTATGGTAGACCAGGGTTTTGAACTCATGCAGCCGTGATGAAACGGTTTTCACCTTTGCCATAGCAGGTGCAGTTCCCAGGGGGCGATCCCCAGACCTCGCCCTTACCCGTGTACAGTACCAGTTGACCCGTGTGTGCTTGAACCCGCGACCTGTCTCTCGAAAGTCGCCTGTTTATTTGCTGTAGGTAGGGTGGTCGTCGGGTCTTGAACAGTAGGTCCATAAATTAGCAGTCTTAGCAGTGGTAGGGGTCGTAGCCGCTACGGTACCGAAAGGTCAATGTAGGTCGTAGCTGCTACAGTACCGAAAGGTCACATAGGCTAGACTAGGCCCCTCCGGAACAGTCTACTCTGCCCCTTCGTGAGTCCTAGCTAGCAGTCCGTAGGCAAGTGGGCAAATGGGCAGTCTAACTCAGCCCAGTCAGCGGTACCCAGTCCCGGTCGCACTTTGTCAAGTCAGCAAGTATCATGTGGGACTGTGTACACCCCAGGCCCAGGGTCCAAGGGCAGACCTTTGACAATCCAAAATATAAATAAAGATGCAGCGTCAAGTCATTCATTCATTCTGCCCATGAGCCGTGCGGAAGTGCTATCGAAGCATCTTGTGTACGAAGGTCTGCAGGTGCCCGAAGGAGAAGTGGGCTAAGAGGAGGAAGTCGGCCATAGCCGAGCTTGTTGATAGGGAGGAGGAAAACGGCGGCCATAGCCGCCACGTCAGAGAGTCAGTAGGTGTTAGTGTGTGTATCTGAGTGAGTGTTAGTGTGTGTGTATGAGTGTGTGGGACATCCAGGGAGATCCAGGGTGTGTGTACAAACAAGTTGCTGATCGGCCATAGCCAATCAAGACAAGTTTGAATTTGAACTGCGTTCTCGGCTTCGTTACCTCTGAGTTTTGTGTGGGCGGAAGTCGCCAGCTTGATCATCATCTGTTTGTACGCATGCTGGGTGTCGGGAAAGACAAGTCTGATTGCAGTGAGAGCTAGCCCCATTTAAATCTCCTAACGACATGTCAGGGCTCTTTTGGATCTTCAATAAACATTGGGCACTTCCCAAAAGCAAAAGAAATCAAAACTTACAGCTATCCCATGATGTCAGACATGAGAACGAAGCCGCAAAATCCCTATGGTCACAGATCCTACAAATTTGGAGAAGCATATTCCCCGAGAACAGGATAGGCCCCCCAAAAAGAGATGAAATACTCAGACAACCCCTCTTTGGAAATCCCTGGATTAAAAATGACAAAGGAGAAAGCTTCCCTCTCTCGAAATCAGAGGCCAAATGGGGTCACTGGGTAGAAAAAGGAATCTGGAAAATCCAACCTCTCTGGGAGGACACAACCAACGCATGGAAATCTGAAAAAAGACCCAATGACAACACTGAAAGGGACTCACCACCTCCAAGAAAATATAAGCCTGATCATCGAGAGCATTCCCATAGAATGGAGGCGTTTACTACGAACGGAGAAGAAATGGCAAAATGGGGACTCGGCAGTAACAAAGACTCAGGGAAATATCATCGAGGTCCTAAGATTCAAAACCAACGAGAACCAGGACAATAATTGGGTCTTCTGCGATATCTTTACCCTCGATGAGCCAGGTGACCTAGTAAGCTTCCTCAACACAGAAAGCAGAGCAGAAGCATCATTCATATCCAAAACCCTAAGGAGAATAAGGGTAGTCGAAGGGGAAAGAAACCGAGTCGTTAAGCCTCACTCAAGTATACAGGAATCGGAAATAGATCCAACGGAATAGACCTGGAGCACCCCCAATCGTCTCTCCTCCATATCAAGACTCCACAAACTAACCGACGACAAACCAAAGTTAGGCTACCGTCTCTTTTCTAAACCTATCTCAATAACCAAGACCCTACAAAAACGATGGACAAAAGAAGAGAATATGCTCGCCGAAGCTCAAATCTCACCCCCTTGGTCGGCTATTTTCGGCACAAGACCAGTTAAACTTGCCAGCCTACGGTGGCAGATAGCTTTCAGGGCAGTACCGGTGAACCACTGGCTAGCACACAGGTGCAGTAAAGAAAACAGAAGAGATCAAGATTCTTGGTGCAAAGTATGCAATCTACAGACCCCGGAAACGCTAAACCACTGCTTCATCGACTGCCAGAGGCCAGGAAGCTATGGCAGGAAATAGAGAACACAGTCTATCACGATAAGCCCCAGTACTTTATTCCTCGAAGTTGAACAAAACCCGCCCCTCAAATGTTTTGAATCATTCTTCTTCTCCCTTTATCAGGAAAGGAACCCTTTGGGGTTTATAGAAAAGAAGATGCGACAAAACCTTCGAAGACCACCTCACCAACCCCGAGAACCCAATCATCATAATAAAGAACATAATAGAAACAGAACTATACGCGCTTTGGAAAAAAAAACGAAAGCAAATTCAAAACGCCCCTGACAAAAGGCCAGAAATAACCCAAAAATTCACAGCCCTTAAATTAGGATCAGGCCACCAAGGAACTATAAATAATGGTACCCTAACCCTTAAGAACTGGCTAATCATCTCAGCCGCATGCACCAACGGCAACCCCCTTTACCCCCTAACATCATTGTTCCAGACACAGACCAACACTCACCAAGAACCCAACACCCATCCTACATGGGCCCCTTGATGACCGTCACCTATGCCCCACACAACCCCCATCGCACACCATTATCTCCTATCACTCCACCAATCGCAATCCCAGCCCCATAAACACCCTCCCCCCACCAGCGATGCCAGATTCTCAGATACATAGAATCTAGATAGATAAAATCTACAGATAGATAGAATTTAAGATAGAATCAAGATAGATATCTACATTTTATCTATCTATCTATCTATCTATCTATCTATCTATCTATCTAATATCGATAGATTATATCTATCTATCTATCTATCTATCTATCTATCTATCTATCTATCTATCTATCTATCTATCTACCTATCTAACTAAGGGAGGGAAGGACGGATGGAGGGACGGAGGGACGGACGTAGGGACGGATGGATGGATATGAGATGATATGACATGATGAGATTTATTCGGGACATCCGTTAAAATTGGAACGATACAGAGAAGATTAGCATGCCCCTGCGCAAGGATGACACGCATAAATTGAGAAATGGTCCAAATAATAATTAAAAAATATATATAAAAAAAAGATAAACGAAGAATAGAGAAGAAGTTTAGATAAATGATTGGATAGACTCATCAGGAGTCGGAACCCTTACAATCTACAGAGTCCCCTTACTGATTACACTGTAAGTAGTAATCCACCTTAACCCCGGTTGTGGTTAAGCATCAACATAAATAATATTTATAAATAATAGATATAAATATTATATATATATATCGTCAAATAGAACTGCCCGGTAAACCGTAGGCAGAGAGGGAGAAGAGGACAACAAACGAGGGGCTGTGACAAACTGTTTCGTCGGAGTTTCACCGACTCATCAGGAGGCTGAACCCTCAACAGTATATATATAGATTAGATCAGATATATATAGGGTTCAGCCTCCTGATGAGTCGGTGAAACTCCGACGAAACAGTTTGTCACAACCCCTCGTTTGTTGTCCTCTATTCCCTCTTTGCCTACAGTTTACTGGGCAACTCTGTTTTACAATATATGTCTTATATATCGTCACAAACAGAACTGTCCGGTAAACCGTAGGCAGAGAGAGAGAAGAGGACAACAAACGAGGGGCTGTGTGTATATATATATATATATTGTGACGATATATACTACGACTTCGYTAGCTTCCTGCTRCGGTTTTTTCCGGTCAGGTCGAGCGGCAGTGGTCGGGGCCGTTACTAGGCGGCCATGTTGTGCCTCTAGTGCCAGCGGCGTGTCTGGAGTGTATTTTTTGGTT